GCTTCTTGGACATGAAAAAAACTTCCACACTACCATTGGCTGTCGAGGATTAGAATTCACTACCTCATAACATCGTTCCTATTAGTTATACTTCTAAATTTGTTGAAGCCATTACCCTCTCTTTATTTAACCTACCTAGCTAGCTTAAGTGTTATAATTGTGTTTACTGTTCTATTTGTTTTTGTTCTATTGCCACCCCATTGTATAATGCCCCTCGGGCCCTCAAGGAAAATAAATGATGATGATGATGATGAACAGTGTATATTTGTCAAATCTTTGCCGAATCTTTAGAAAAGTTCGGCAATCCGCCCAATCCTAAGATTCGGCAAAAGTTCGGCCCATCACTAGTAAAAATATGCGACCCGGACAGGGGGGGGGGGGGGGGGGGGGTTGGTTTACCTCCTCTTCCACTCAAAAACAAGTTGATACGCCAATGAAGGTGTGTGCATTGGTTCACAATTGGCGCCCATTCTTTCTGAAATTTACTTAAGGGTTTTAGATCTGAAAGTCGAAACGGTGTTGACGTCGATGTCAGGTGTGACCGCTTTAGTGAAACGCTATGTCGATGACATTTTGGTTCGTACGACGAGAGGCAGCGACTTGGCGATGCTTGTGGATTTCATCCGAAACGCGGCGCCTGAGCTGGCCTTTGTAACAGAATTTCCGAAGGATGGATCATTACAGTTTCTGGATGTTAAGATAAGTTTGACGAACGGTTTGTGCTGGAGGTACGGCAGGGATGAACCCAGGCCATGGTTAATTGCCCTACATGAGTTGTCATGCCAAGACGGTCAACAGAGGTGTTGCCGCTTCACTGTTGAATAGTGCGCTCAGTAAATATTGTGCGCATAAGGTTGCGGAGGCTGTGTAGGCGCAAGTGTCGAAATTGTTAGCGGCAGAATACAAAAGGAAGCTTGTGGATAGCGTAGCCGCGAGGGGTTTGCAGCGTTTGGCGGGTACGGTCAGAGTAAAAGAAAAAATTAACAATGTAGTTTGCATTCCCTTTTACTTACGGTTTTCCATAATTTGAAGGTTCTTGCTAAAAAATTCAACGTAACTGTGGTTTTCAGACCGGAATTTAAACTCAGCAGACTAACCCCATTCACGGGAGGGGTGAGCGGGTGCCCAAAAAAACACAGAAATAGAAAAGTCGAGTGTCGGGAGGGGGTGGCTTATGATATACCATTGACATGTGGTTTTCTTACGTTGGCCAAACAGGAAGATGTGTAAACGACCGGTTATTAGAGTACAAAAGGGCAGTAGAATTGAGGGCTCAAAATTCAGAAATAGCCAGACATGTTGAGGAATGCAATGGGTGCAACCCGGAGTGGGCCAAAACAGAATTTATCTACAGTGAAAAAAAAAAAAGCGACTAAAAGGATATTGAGGGAGACCATTAGAATAGGGAGTATTTGGAACTGCATAAGCAATCCTTCCGTTTCTTTAGACAACCTAACCTGGTCCTATATCGGAAGCGGAGTTTTCGTCTCAATGACTGGTGAGATCCAGCCGAAAGATTAAGTAGAATTGACCTATCTTCTTTTTTTTTTTTTTTTTTGTGAAGGCGTTGGAAGGAGACTGGAATAAAGGGGGGGGGGGGGGGA